CCCTTGATGTGCCCCCGGCACGCTACGACCCAATCAGCTGCAAAGCGATGCATCACGGCGCTCGAGCCGCCCCGCCCCGCTCGCCCACGGTCAGCGGGAGGGGTGGCGAAAAGTGTAGCAGGGGCTCTCAAAACCTCATGACGCTGCAACTCAAATGTGTCGACCAGTTTCATATAGTGTCGTTATACAAAATGATGAGGGGAGCAACACGTCGTCCCCGCCGCCGCCCGGTGTAGGGCACGGGGGCGGGGGCGGGGCGGCCCTGGGAACCTTCTTCGACCGCGGCGCGGCGGTGTAGAATTATTTAAGTCTAGGACAGGCGAGGCGGCCGGCGCGCCGAGGCGGGCGTGGCGTGCCCATCACCTGCCTGCACGTGCCGTCCACGCCACGCCACGCCACGCGACGCCACGCCTCGCCACGCCACCGCGAAGGGGATGCAAAGTCACCGCTGCCCGTCGGCTGCCCCCCCCCCCCTTATTTTCGGTCACTTTTATGAACCAGCTTCGTTAATTCCTCAAAAGGAGGAAACAACAGGTTACTGCGGGCATTTCCACAAAACATTTTTTAAACCGATGTCAATCGATAAAATCTAAACAGAAATAACTCATGTATCATTTGATGGTGAAATGATGTTTTTACAGGGCCCTGTAGAAATCAATAACGCTATCGAGGGCATGCCAGAGCTGAATCGGCCGATAAACTCGTAAAATAGGCAGCGTTTCCACCGGCAGTAAGGGCGCGCTTTCGAACGAGAGTGACGTTTTTCCTCACGGTGTAGCCAATCGGCCTCTCGAGGTGGTGGACGGCGCGCTGGTTGACGCGTGTCCGGTAGTTAATGCATGAAGGACTAGGTCAGAGGCGTAGCGTAAGCAGAGTGGCAGGGGGAGGGGTGGGGGGTTGGGAGAGGGGAAGGGTCACCCCCCCCCCCCCGCGCAGGCACCCTCCCCCTTCGTAGCACCTGCACCAGACTACGCCGCTGGACTGGGCTGCCCGGCGAACATCCTTCGCGTGACCAGCGGGAAAGGGCGGCGTAGGGGTGGGGCGGGGGAAAACCACCCTTAGCAAAATGCGCGGGTAATTTGAAGCCGCTCTTAAAACAAGGTAGACGCACGTTAAAACCGTGTGAAGCTGAGCTAAATGTGCGTCTACCTTG